GGAATGCTTCACATCAGAACAGGGGAAACAAAATTGACTTTATTCATTCTTGTCCGCCAAGCCGGCGCAGTTCTTATAGGATGAAATCCACAATTTTCCAGAAAGATAGAAAAATGTTATAGCTTCAGATATTGTCCCTCTGAAATCTGAAATCTTTTCATAATACTATTGTACACATATACAGTTGTAGGCAAAAGAGCAATGAAACTAAGTGAGTATATATCCTAGAGAATAAATTAATATGATATTAAATATGTTTCTAATGCATTCAAAGAAATTCAAATCGGCTTAAGTTTCAAAACTACCCGGAATCCTGTATCCTGTACCCCACTGAAAGTATATTTTCCCTGAAATACTTTTTATTTGATTAGAAGAACACTTATGTACATACATACATATATACTTGTCGACAGCAAATTTACGTCAGCTTCGATTATTACATATTCAAAAGGTATGGTGTATAAAAATCTGTGAATAAATAAAAAGCAGAATTTAATACAAACATAACCAGTTTTTAAATAATATTATATTTAATTAAGTATCAAATAGATTTATATGATATTAAAAATAATATGATATGTTAAATTATAAGCATAATCAGAATCCGACGCACAGTGTTTTACAAATAGTGAAAGTGTAGAAAATGTTATTAGAACAATAAATCGTAATAGTTGTACCTATATGTTTTAATATTATCAGACAAATAGAAAGATCGAACAACAGCGTGGTAAACACAAACTAATTAGACTTGCTTTGACAATGTCACAAAATATAAGAATATAAAAACCCGCATTTGATTCTGACTCAGAAAGAACGAGAAATGTGCATAGCGGCCTCTGACTATTATACATTTATAAAATAATTAAAGTTGTGAACCTATATTGATCATTAAGTTTTGGAAATTATATGGCACGTAGGTCATCACTAAGCTTCTCGAATACTCACTATATTAGCAAGTGAGATCTCAGAAGTAAGTGAGCCTAGTTTAGGCGTTTAAAATAAGTTTAAAACCGCATAAGAATGGTTTAGCTTCATGACTTAACAGATCACATTCGATCAAACTACAACTTAACGGTACTTGTAAAACATTTATTGTTTTTTTGAAGACTTAAAAAAGAAATATATTTTGTTTTACCCTGAACCTAATAAGAAACGCCAGAGTCCCTATAAAGCATATATATTATAAATGATCTGCATGATGCGCTGAGTCGATTTAGTGATGTCCGTCTGTCTGTATATATGCGACCTAGTCCCTCAGTTTTTGAAACATCGATCTGAAATTTTGCACCCGGCTGATATCGTACTACTATAGCATATAGCTGCCATTCAAACTGAAGGATCGGAATCAAGTACTTGCATCGAAAAAATTTTCATATCAAGAAATATCTTCACGAAATTTGTCAGTTTGGTTACAACGTCAAATCGAGTAACTATAGCATATAGCTGCCATACAAACTGACCAATCAAAGTTTTTGTAATGAATCATTTGCGTTTGTGGAGGGTATTATAGCTTCGGTGCAAACGAGGTTAAAGTTTTTTCTTGTTTATATTTTGGTTTGGAAAACATAAAAATAAATTCGAAATTATTGAAATCAAGCACACCGTGCCAATCTAACCACTGAACCATTTACTAGCATTGAACTTCAAAGGCAATCCAATATGGTCGAGTTATGCTGCTGCCTCGAGACAATATTATCTTCCGTATCGGCTGAGTTTGCTATGCTCAATCATAGATGCAATAGCAAGTTCCTCAATTGTTGTTGCTGACTGTTACTTGCGAGAGAAATATTCGAATTGTAATGCAAACGATTAAACGATAGCGCTCAGTCGTCGCGCTATAAAAGTGCCATCGGGCTGCAACAGTATCATCAAAGTCTTACTTTTCGTGTTCACTGCAAGTACAACGCAACGATATTAGCGCAAACATGTTCAACTTCTACAAATTGGTAAGGATAACGGTTATATTCAGTTGTAATAATTTAAATTAATTATTTTTGCCTTACACTTTAAACAGTTGGTGGTGTTCGCTGCGCTGCTGAGCTTCACTGCCGCACGGCCAACCATCTTGGGACCCATCCTTGTCTCGCCATCCTCCGTTTCGCATCAGAGTGTCACTCAGGTGCATGCCACTCACCCGGTGCTCGTCGGCACACCAATCCTCACCGCGGTGCATCCTATTTTAACTCCCATCATCCATCATCCTGATCATATTGTTATTGGTTAAAGTGGTGTTGTAGTGACAGCAACAGTTACCATTGACCGCCATTTTACGACTGCGAATGGACTAATCTACAAAATGAATACTCAGCACCACAAGGCCACACGCGATCACCACCTAGTTTAACACACAGACACAATCGCACTTTCATAGCCACACATAAGTACAGTCAAATTCATAGAACTAAGTACACATATATTTATGTATGTATGTTTGTTGTTTGAAACGCGCCGATTTGCTTTCTTTCGATCTTGCGCTCGTTGCGTTGCAGTGCATTTCTTTGTGAACATTTTTTATTTGAAGACTTTTCTTTTTTTTTTGTTGACTTCTAGTGCAATCAACAAACACTTAGTTACAATGTAGAACTATATATCTTTTCAATAAAACCCAAAGCAATGAAAAAACTAAAATGGTTTTTATTATGTAGGTTTTTTATATACCCGTAAATGTTTTCCTTTCAGCAGATACTAGAAGTGTCACCCCTAAACCTGCTCCCGGTGTGGGTAGCCTATTACAACGTTGTGACTTAATTTCCATAAAAAGGTCAATAAAATAGGTAGAACTTCATTCACACCTTGAACGTTCGCGTCATTCTGGTTGAACTTTAACAGAATAAAATAAAATTGCATTCAGTCGAGAATATTACCTTCTTACGATGAAAACCATGAAAAAATAACAACAACAAAATCCTTCAAAGTGTTTTTTCTCCAAATAATGTATTTATGTATATTTTTGTTTTTGTATGTGTGTACATAAAGTATATATTTTTGCTTTCTCATTTTGTTATAAAAGTGACTTTTCTGGCACCCCTATATACATTGTTAGCTCGATCGCATGATTTATGATAATAACAGGAAGTCAATTATTGTATATAATATTATATATAATGTAATAGTAATCATAATGGTGATAGACAAATAATTAATGATCATAAATTCAATGCCCTAAACTGAGCTTCGTTTATATAATACTTAATATACTTACAGCAGTATCATTATAGCGATCATTATTCTTTAGCCTAAAAGTATACACTTTGTTCGACATGTGATTGAAGATTGTTAAGCTTTTATGAAACGAGTTAATTTAAAAACGTATATGAAAGAAAGACCAAATAAATGAAACAGTCGGTCCGATAGGTAATTAGCTTACATAAGCAAACCGAAAATTTTAGAAAATTGCGATTTTATTTTCTTCATATTATAATTTCATTATACCTCGATACGCTTGACAAACGATGCGCCACTTATTTAACCTGCTGAAAATTATGTTTTTTGGAACTCTAGTTAAGTGAAGCAATCCCACGAGATACAATCTGAGGAGTACGGAGGTAGGGCAGAAGTCCGTAGCCCATGGTCACACCTTACAATTCCTAAAAAACGGTGACCATCACCAGGTTAATCGGTGAAGTTAATTATTTTGACTGGTTATTTGTGTATTAATGGATCCTTTTTCCATCGGCGATCACGAAATTACCCAGAAACTCTTTCCTATCCATCCGCATCCGAGGAGACAAGTTTCTCTATGTGCCATTCAAGCACTCTTAGATTTTGCTGCGCGATTTCGTTTCCGGAAACAGAAATCGAATAAAAGATGATATTGATTCTTAGCTCTTTTTCTTAAATCCGCGGGCGGATACACACACTACGTCTACGAAAATTGGCTACACGGTAGTAAATTGCTTTTGCGATAGTGGCGGTGAGGCTGGGTGATAATCTCACAACCCGCATATAGAACATATGTATCTTCTATATAATGCGTCAAATAGTCTATATAGTGTTGCACAAACTGAAATTAGTAAAAAACTACACAAATAATCTAGAAATCCAAAGATTACCCGAATTGTAGCTATAAAGCTACACAAGTTCTATTCTTATAAAAACTCATTACCAAACAATCTCTAGTTTATATCACGACTTGACTTTGAAAATTCTAAAAATTATACTGCATTTTTCAAAAGTCGCACCCCGCATGAATAAAAGAGACACCTTGATAACAAATTCCGAAAATAATTTTGTTTTTATATATGTTATAACACAGCACAATAACCCTGTCATCTAAATTTTGGAGTTGACTTAATGGGTTTTATTAACACTTCACGTAAGCGCTATTGTCGCAATTGTGCGAATAGTTCATCAAGTATTTCGAATAAAAACTCCTTTCAATTAACTAAATCTATTTCTTATTTTTTTTATGCAAGAAATCAAAAAATGGGCACCAGGCTTTAGAAGCCCACTTCATAAACCTTATCTACTATCGTTTCTTTACACATAGCTGCAATGCTTAAATTAATAACCTCATATTATATCCCACTACATATTCTTGTTTGAAAAATTATTCCAGTCACCTTCTAATGCAAAGTCGTCAACGCTTACTCTTATATGTAAATCAAAAATATACTACTTTATTATGCAGTTATCAAACTGAAAACACCAAATCGACCACACCTGACCTTATTGCATCATATTTCTACTTAGTGATAGTAGGAGCCATTAACTAATTTGCCTTTTGTTGGGGCTAAGATATTTCCGTAAAAATCTAGTCACGATATTAAAAAATAAAAATATGTTTCTTAATGAAAAATTCGGTTTCTAAAATCCATAAAATGTACTGGCTTCGTAAGTCCCACTGAAGAAGTCCTATAATTACATTTATATACAAGTAGAAAGAATGCTAGGAAATTCACAGTATTTGAATAAACATTTCAAAGGTTAGTTTCTTTTCCACGTCAGGATATAATAATATCTACATAAACAATAACAACAGAGTCAAATACTTGATGAAATATGTTTTAATTTTTATCACAACTTTATTTTATATAAATTTTCGCAAAATATTCGACAACAAGTATAGCAATCCATAAATTTTCTAATGATGTAGAGTGTAGGCAAGTGGAGCCGAAAGAATGCTTTTGACGACAGGCGCAGAATGAAGCACAGGCAGGGAGTGGACGACTGGAACGCTATGGACTACGGGAGCGGCATGAACTACGGGTGCGGCATGGACTACTGGAACGACCGGGGCAGCATGTACCGTTGTCTTGACGGCGTGAGCGAGCACTGGACTCACTACAGCTTTGCTATGGACCTGAGTGATGCTCTGGTGGGAAACGGCCGATGGAGCGCTATGGACAACCGAGCCGATCTTGGCCAATACAGGCTCGTGGACTACATGGTGGGTCTCAAGGTGTCCAGCGCTGACTGTGGCCACGGCGAATACGCAAACGAGGGCGAACTATAAAAGAGTTTGAGGAAATATTTAATAATGTTGTTATATTTTTCGTATTAATTTCTTTCCTTACGTATTTGAACATTTTGGAGTTGTTGAGGTGTGCTGATTAGTTGAGCTTGGAAAGTTAGTGTGTGACTGATGTTGGATGCTGTTTTGGCGTTAACTTTTATACCCAAATCTTAGGAAATGATATGAATGAAAAACAAGTATATGGAGTAATGAGAAAACGTCATTACAGCTGCTTCGGCTGTGTCGGTGTGCGTGTGTGTGTAAAGGTTCTCAAGATAATGACGCGTCGTAGCAGCTGATATTGAGTTCAAAAACTCATTCATTACAGATGCTATTTCATGTAGGCATTAAATATATTGCTGCAGCTAAGCGCAAGCTACCAGCTGAATGTTTTTCTGTTACTGCCGCTTGTACTCATAGTGATGACTCTTGTGTGCATGTATGTGTGTTTAAAATATTTTGTTTTGCATTACCAACTTCTAGTTGACGTGTAAATTCCTACAATCAAAAGAAGTACGCAAAGCGTAGCGGAAAAACAAGCTTACTTGGCTGTAAGCGATCATTAGCAAAATACTTCACCTATAATGCTTATTGGCGCAACTTGCATTGTATAAAAGCAGGGCAGTGATGTACAATTAGCACCAGAAGTATTTCGGACTCTTACAAATAAACAACTCCCAAAAATTAACAAAAATGTTCAAGCTCGTAAGTTAATATACTTCTATAGTCATTTTCAAATTTTTATTAATTTAAAACACATTCCTGCACAGGACGCCATCCTTGCTGCTGTCTGCCTTTTCGCCGTCGCCACCTCCGTCAGTGCTGGACTCCTAGAAACCCACCATGTAGTCCACGAGCCCGTGTTAGCCAAGGTCGGCGCGGTAGTTCACAGTGCTCCTTCAGCCGTTTCCCACCAGAGCATCACTCAGGTCCATAGCAAAGCTGTAGTGAGTCCGGTGCTTGCTCACGCCGTCAAAACAACGGTACTTGCTGCCCCCGTCGTTCCAGTAGTCCATGCCGCACCCGTAGTTCATGCCGCTCCCGTAGTCCACAGCGTTCCAGTTGTCCACTCCGTGCCTGTGGTTCATTCTGCGCCTGTCGTCAAGAGCATTGTTTCAGGTCCACTTGCCTACACTTTCCATCATTAGAATATTTCAGGATTGGTATACAAACAAATCGAATGTCGAATCTATTACTAAAACGAAAATAAAATAAAGTTGTGATATAAATTTAAAACTAGCTTATTTATTTTGAAACTTAAAATAACTACTCATTGAAACGACGATGGGCTATAAATTAATAAATTTTTCCAATGACTTCAAAATTTAGATTAGATTTTTTGTGTGGATATAAAAAATACTTAAGTTATATGTGAAGAAGAGAAAATTAAATCCAAACAGAAGTAAATTACATATTATATTTAGCCGAAAAGTATAAAAAAAAATTTTTGTTGGCTATATAAAGCCTTCGGAAAGGTATGGAAACACACTCTCCATATAACTGTTTGGTTAAAAACTAGCAAGAATGCGATAAATTTATAAATAAATGCTTCAGAGACATACAAATTTACATCAGAGATAGTAAAAAGGGCTTTATAGAGGCGGTGTCAAATTTGAACGATGGGAGCGCCACTGCCCACTTTTAGGTGAAATCCCATCTCTCGTTACCTACTCGACAAATTTCAACCAAATTCGGCAGATAACATTGTCCTGACATTCCTAGTTCTAAATCAAACAAAAACCACGCGCCCTTTCTATACAAGTATAACACAATTTTAAATTCCATCTGATTCTTTTACTTTCCTGTATACAAACAAGAACTAATTAATGTGTTCGTACAAAACTTTGCTTGAATACCCCAGATACCGAATATGTGGGTCGTGGTTCCCATAACGGGTGATCCCAGTAGACGTCCTTTTACAATAGTTTTTGTTTTTTGACAGATCATGCGTGAGTCGTGTCAAGTTGTCATATTATTTTTGTTTAGTATTGTTTGGCATTTCATCATGGAAAGATATATAGCGGCCGTAGCCGAGAGTGTACCTGAAGACGATTCGACGCCATTCGCAGCAACTCGAACTGACGTATGGAACAACTTGACGCATTTTACGTCGAGATCTTTAACTGAAAACGTACAAAATACAGCTTATATCGGTGAGAACGTAACCGTCAGTGGCGACCGCCATTGCCCCATGATAACCGACTATGTGATGCCTGAAATTAAAGCTGGTGATCTCGACGACATTTGGTTTCAGCGAGATGGCGCCACTTCCTACACGTCGCATTAACCAATGGATTTATTGAGAGTTTTGGGCCATCCTACGGCCACCGTTAGACTTTTTCCTGTGGGGATATGTTGTTAATTCCAAAGTATATGCGGACCATCCCGCTTCGATTCAGGCCTTGGAGCAAAACATCACGCGTGTCATTCGCTAGTCAGCAGTCGAAATGCATGAACGGGTCATCGAAAATTCGACTTAACGGATGGACTATCTGAGACGTAGCCGCGGCCAACATTTGAAAGAGATAATTTTCAAAAAATAAATGCCAAAGAATGTCCTTTCGAAATATAATGAACATTCCTCATTAAATTTAATTTTTTGAACCTGAAGGTATTTCCCCGGATTTGAACCTGCCAAGTTGCTAGATAATGAAATGTTCGGTTACACCCGAACTTAGCCCTTCCTTACTTACTTATTGCATGGATATTTGTTGATAAAATTATGCGTTCAAGCAGAATCCGGAGATTTTTCACGTTTCTAATCCAATTTACAATGCCAGCGTATCTGAAATACAAAATGTAGTTATACTATATCATCACTAATACTCAAGTGAACAGTTAGTTGACAAGAAGATTAATAGCCCGACAGACGGGCATACAAAGTTTAATATTTTGTGTTATCAAAAAGAATATAAACAAGTAAGAAAGGGCTAAGTTCGAATGTAACCGAGCATTTTATACTCTCGCAAAGTCAAATGGTATACTCTAGTTTGAGATTTTTTTGTGGATTGACTGATATTTTCGGTAGAAGGTCAACTATAGGCACTAGGGTCCACATATTTAGTACTTAGGGCTTTGAATAGTTCTGGTTCGACTTAGACAATTTTTGTTCACAAGGTGGCATACTTTAAACGTATTATTCACGCAAAGTTTTACCCCGATATAATCATTGTTGCTTGATTTGCATAGTGGAAAGTGATCAAATCAGATGAAATTTAGGAAATAGGCGTGGTTGTAATCTGATTTCGCACATTTTCGCACTGTAACCGAGAAATATGAAAATTATGTTATGTACCGAATTTGGTTGAAATCGGTTTAGCAGATTCCAAAATATAGGTTTACACCTAAAAGTGGGCCCACTGGCTAATTTTGAACGCGATTCCTATAAAGTCATCTCTTACCATCCTAGAGATAAAATTTAATGTCTTTAACAATACTGTTATATGGGCAGTGGTCGGAGTTGTCACCCGATTTGACCCATTTTCACACTGTAGATATAGGTGCTAAAAAAATTTGCTTCCAGTGAATTTTGTTATTTTAGCTTTGGCGGTTTAGGAGATATGCATTATAAACTTATTAGGGGGCGGGACCACGACCACTTTTAAAAAAAAAATTAAACTGCAGATGTCCCTCCCTAATGTGATTCTGTGTACCAAATAACAGTCTTGTATCTTATTGCGGAATGATCCGATTACGCCCATCTGCAACACAAACCGTCTTACGGTACCAAGAAACATGTGTACCAAGTTTCACAAATATATCTCAATTTTTACTCAAGTTACAGCTTGCAAAGACGGGCGGACGGACAGTCACCTGGATTTCAACTCGTCGCTTTATCCTGATCATTTATATATATTATATAATATATAACCCTATATCTAACTCGATTGTTTTTAGGTGATACAAACAACCGTTAGGTGAACAAAACTATTATACTCTGTAGCAACAAGTTGCGAGAGTATAAAAAAAGAGTTAGAAAGGGGCATATATTTTTCCTGTTCATATTATAAAACTGACTTCTTTCAAGAAGAGTTCATACTAAAACAAAAATTATGCCAGATATTTTTATAGGAATAATTATCATGCTTCAAATGAAACGTTTTTATTTTCTCAAGACTAGTTTTAATGTTTGTATCGCGATTTCGATAAAAGATTTTATTATTTCATTAAATAAGTTCGATATTCAATTTTAAATGTATTCATTATACTGAAAATATTTAGATTAATAGGAAGCAAAAGTAATAATCTAAACAAAGGAAAGCAATTGTATAAGTGTCAGGTCTGGAAATTTCATTCATATTTTTTCAATGAAAAAAAAACATTATTTTGGTAAAATTCGGCATACATCGACTATACCGATCTTTTTTCTGGCGAGTATTCTTTTGCGGTCTATAAACGAGAACCAAGTTTTGTAGGTAAATCTAATTACTAAACATGTAGATTCGGTTGTACCGCTCTCTCAAAGAAATTATGTAAACTTTTCAGCCTATGTATACACTAGCACCCAAATAGGCGAATTATAGGTATCGATTTCTGTTTTACCTTGCTAAACATGTGGTATAAGTGTTCAATTGTGAACATCAATTAAAATATTGTTTTAAGCGCGCAAGCATAAACAATGGTCGAAACGAATCAAGCGGAAGTATTAAACGGAAATCGAAATATATTATTTTATTGAAGTAATCAATTTTATATTCTTCTAAAAATGGCAATATGCAATGAGCAAAGAGAATAAACGGTTAAAGCACTCATTAACGCCAACTAATGCTAACAAGTTTCGTTTGTGTCTAAGACCTTTTAGACCTTGGGCGACTACTGCTCAGCGCAATTGAAGAGCAACGAGCTAGTTGGACAAAATTCAAACAATTAATAATTTAGCAATTTATGTACTTGATACATGGTATTGTACTTTACGTGTATAACATACATACACATTTATTTGTGGGAGTATACTTACATATGTCTGTGTGTAACACCAACATGTCTGTTGGTAACACCCAAATATGAGCCAGCAATTTTTCACACTCCATCAAGTAATCACACGGCTGTTATTGTAATCAGATTACCTTTGTGTAAGCCCTAAGTGGTTAGCCCTTCAATTCAACTACACATATACAAAACATACAGAAAAAATATTCAAAAAAAAACAAAATGAATTTATTGCAATTTGTAGGCGAATTAATTCTATGACTAATTCGGTTACCACTTTGTACATTTGTAAATGTATGCGGGTATTAAATATTGCTTACGCCTACTAACTAGTTCCAAACTAGTCTATAGAAGTATTCAAAAGGAAATGCATACAAGGAGAAAAGTCTAAGGTATTAAAATCTGTTTTCTGAGTGATCTTGATTCTACGAAAATCATCTTATAATTTTCATATGTTAGTTTAATAAAGTTCTGGATCTGAAAGAGATATAGTTGATATGACCAAATTTAACCCGGACTGACTAACATTTTCACGTACAATATTGTTAGTTATTATTGCTTTAAAAATAGACACCTCAGCTAATCCAAGCTTGCCAATGCTAAATTCAGTTTTCTATACACTTATAAGCCTCGGCTTAGGTGATCTTCAGTGCCTTCCGCGAATTTTGCTTTTTTTTGGTTTCGGCTCATTTTTGGACCATTTGTTGGAGTTTCGACGTTCGTATTCAAAAATTCACCTCTGGTCACCAGCAATAATGCGTTCGATGCAGAGGCGGACCCAGGATTTCGGAAAGGCCACCTCTGGAAAAATTACCATTATGTGGAAGTGAATTTTGTAACAGCAAGACTATGGACTAATATTATACATTCTTATACACAAAAGCGTTTTCTTCTCTAGGGATGAATAATACGGTCAATTAGTTTGAATAAAGTGGTTGATTATAATTATTAGGTTTTTCGAATATATTTTGGAAATGTAATAAATAATATTAGAATGTGCGAGATGGTAAACTGTTTCAATGCGATGGGTGTAAGGGCATGATTCGTGAACACATTGAAGATTATAGAACTCGTCGTTTTTCGGAAATCGAGTTAAACCGTTTTTTGCTCTTAATAATTCACCCCCACATGGCCCGAAAACTATTTTTTTTGCTTTCAAAAATTACCCTTGACTTGTTTTTAGACAAGGGTAGGACCAACCTTTGTCTAAAAACAAGTCAAGGCTCAAAATATCCAAAATAGTCGGTTGTTCAAACACGAAAACCTCCCGAATTTCCGAAACTGGTTTCATGAATGTAGGGCCCTTA